CATACACACATCAATTGTGTAAAGCGCATTTGTACATCATTCTCAAAACATTTTTTCTCCACTTAAACCCCCGACATTAGGTCCTCATTTTTCCCCTTCCTCCCCGCTCCCCTCTCTCTCATGAGCCCTTGATAGTTTATAAATTGGTATTTTGAAAGCTCTTTCTTATATACATGAGTGTCTATGAACTTTTTCTCTAGCCAACCCAGACTAACACACACATAGATTGATATATTTACTCCTGGCTTCTTTCTGTTAGTGTGTATGTGTGATTTGTTGGTATCTGCTCTTCAGGCAGCTGCTGGCAAGTGACAGCCCCATGTATGTCTGTGTAGGCTTTACATCCTGGGAATGCATATTACAGGTAAAAAAGGATCAAAATCTAATCTACATTAGATCTTAACCAAAAGGCTGAGAAGCGATTCAAAATCTAATCTATACATTTAATACTATGAATTGAATGAAATGTTTAATGTGCTAGGAAATTTGACAGTAAGAACAATAGATCGTAAAAGACAGTACACCATCAACATGCTAAGTAAAGACGGTTTATAGCATTAATGATGAAAAGAAAAATCCCGTCATTGAATTGCTTCTGACTCATCGCAGCCCTGTAAAGTAATACATATTAAGGTAATCATGAGATTCTGTTAAACTAGCAGAGATATAAAAGATGATTGTGCTACCTGTTTGTAAAAGTATGAAGAACAATGTTTCCTTTTGTACTGAGAGGGTTTTAGTATCTACTGGAGCACAGATCGGTGGCATTGATTAAAATTTTAATGATATAAAGTTAGTATTTCTACTGCTAGACCTTTACCGGAAGAGCCATGCACGTATAAATGGGTTTTCCCCCCTTGAAGAATTTCATAGTCAAATTGTTATTCTGTGAAGTTTTAACCTAAATGCCTACTTTCTCACTGCAGTCCAGTCAGTCCTGGCTCATAGCAACCCCTGCGGGTTCCCGAGACTGTTTACAGGTCCACAAACCCAGGTTTTCTCCCACAGAGCTGCTGATGCTTTTCAGCTGCCAGCCACACAGACCACAGCCCTCTGCCTGACCATCAGACCTATGTTAGCGAAGGACAGACCGAGTCGTTGATATATTAAGTAGTGAGGACTGTGCACGGAATCAGTGAGTCTAAGGTTTCCTGGGTAGCATTTGACAACAACACTGCTGTGCGGTGATGAACAATTGGTTTATTCATCGTTGCCCACCTGTGAAGAATTGTGTACGTGTGTTATCTATAAGTAAATACTTTGTGGCCATTAAGGAGGAAAGAGCATATGATTTTATGTGAAATTGTTAGGTATCTAGCGTGGTTTACCTCGGTTCTTGCTTCTCAACAGTGAAAGCATTCATGTGGCAGAA